CTGGCCCACTCTCACCCGGCCTCCTCGCCCCCTTCCCTCCACCCGGGCCTCCGTCCGGACCTCCCCCTTCCCAGCCCCGGGAGGTGCTCGCGCGCAGGTGCGTGCCTGCCCACGCTCTTCCCCACTCAGCCTCTGCCCCCCTCCCGCCCGAACCTCCGCCCTCTCCTGCTGTCCCCAGCCCGTCACCCACGCCTGCTGACACACTCTCACTCTCCGCACCTTTTCCCTTTGGCTCTGCTCTGCACCCTTGTCTCCCCCTGGGGCCTCTCCTCTGCTCACACCCTCCCCGCTTCCGCCCGGTCCCCACTCTGGCTCCCTTAGCAGCCTCTCCTCGTCCTCCTCCTCCAGGTCCCCTCTCTGCTTCCCTCTTCCTCTTCCTCGCCGAGCTCCTGGCTCTCTCCTTTCGCTTCTCTCTCCACACTCCTTTGTTTTCTTTTTCTGTCCTGTGTTCCGGCCTCTTTTTCCCTCCTGCGTCTGCTCTCTGCCACCTTCAAAATCACTTGCCTTTTAACCCCTGTCCCCCATCGGCCCTCGAGTCCTGCCCTCTCCTTTCTCCCCCCCGCCCCCTTGTCTTGCTGTCTCACAGCCTCTCTTCCTCCCCGCTCTCCTCTCTGCTGTGACCTGAACTCTCCCTCCTCCTCTCCGTCTTCCCCGGTTGTCTCCGTCCCGGTCCCTGCCCCCTGGCCCCCCCAGCACCCCGCTCAGGCCTCCCTGGTGCCGTCTGGTCTCTCCCTCCCTTCCTTTCCTCAGAGTGGCCCTCTTCCCCTCGTGCTCCCCTCTTTCTATTTTTTCAGCATGTTCTCGCCCCCCCCTTCTATCTCTTTTCTCTTTCTCCCTCTTCCTTTGATTTCTCTTCTCTCTGAATCTCTCCCTTTCTTCTCGTCTCTCCCACTCGCTCTGTCTTCTCTCCCCAGATTCTCTCTTCTCTCTCCCCCCTCCCTTCTTTCAATCCCATTCCTTTTTCTCCTCCATGAACCCGTGGCCTCTTTTCTCCCCCACCCGAGGATTCTCTCCTCACCAGCCTCCCTCACTCTGTGCCTGTGTCCCCCCCCAGCCTCTCTGTCTTGGGGGCCCTGCCATCCCTGCATCCTGTATTCCCACCCAGGGCCTCTCCCCGCCCCCCTCAGTGTTCTGAGGTTCCCAAGTTCGAAGCCAGAGGTGGGAGCCCATCCAGGGCTCCTCGCAGGCTGTGGGGGCAGCAGGCAGGCCAGCCTGGAGCGGGGCTGGCAGGTGAGAGGCCCTGGGGTGGAAGGACCATTGTGACGCCCGTGTTTTCTCTCTTCTCTGCCCGTCCTGCACTCTGGACATGGCCTGGAGGAGTTGGAGCTGTCCCAGGCCCGGGAAGGAGGAAGCAAAGAAGAACCTCAGAGACAAGGACCAAGTTGCCTAAAGCCACACAGCATGTAAGTGGCAGGCCCAGGGCCCAGTGGGCCTCCCTGGGGTTGCCGGGAATCGGCTCCATCTGGACTCTGCTGACCCCTGAGCTCCCGTCCGAGCTCAGCGAGGAGAGGGCTGCCTCCTTTTTGCTCCATTCTCCTCCCCGACCCTCCACGGTCTCTCTCCTCAGGCAGCACGGAGCCCATCAGCAGTGGGGAGGACAGAGAAAACAGACACCCAGCTGTTCCTGAGGAACAGTATCTGCCAGGACAGAGGCTTCGTGGGAACCCGACCTTCCTAAGGGACCACCTGCGCCTCTGCAGGGCACTTTTCTCCACGGAGGGGGACACCTGGGTCTGCTTGAGGCTTGTCTGCGTGAAAGCCTCCATCTCCACCTAGTGGCAAATAGTGGAACTGCAACCCAGCTGTATTAGACCTGGGACTAGCCCCCCAAACACAGGACTGACTAGAATGCAGGATTGGGGGGTGGGGGTGGCGTTGGTGGGTGAAGAGGGCAGAGGGAGAACTTTCAAAAGCCTGTAAAAATAAAATGTACTCCTAGTCAATACATATACTCAGCAAGCTCCTTGGATGCCAACTCACACCTCTGGACTTCTGTATTTTCCAGTCGTTCTGGGTAGAGTTCTGTGTTGCCATGGAAACGCATATGGGACTGGGCGGGAAACGAAGGAAGGTGGAGGTGGTGAACACAGTTTGACTGGGAGCCTACTTCTAGGAACTGGGCCAAGCTGAATTTGCTGCCTTTGTGATGAGGCCCCTCACTGAACGGAAGTGGCCCCAAAGGCGAGTGACAGCTAAAGGGACCCCGCCAACGGTCCCGACCCTCACTGCCGAGTCTCTCAGATGGGTTAAATGCAGGCGCCCACAGAATTGCTTCCAAAAGCCACACGCTACAGTGCACAATTTAGGGTAGCAAAGAGGCTTTTAAAAATACTAAAATTAGCCTTATGCATTTTCAAAGATTTCATGCAGTTCAGCGCTAAGGTCACTTAAATGCCGATGCGAAGGCCTAGACAGGGAAAGGGGGCTTCGCCAAAGCAGGGGGGCAGGCGACATCTTGTAGAGCAAAGAAGGTCCTCCAAGGGGTGAGGCAGGAAACCGGGAAGGGGGGCCATGACCTTGCAGGTGCTGTCCCATCTGAGACCTGAGGTCGGGGGGCTGGGGTGGGGGAGGGGGGGCTCTGAGCTCAGTGAGGGCAGAAAGAGAGCGGGGCTGTGGGGAGACGGGTGGGGTGAGAACTGCGGGCAGTCTGGCCTGGTGGTATCTAAGTGACTCCTTAATCAAGGCTGGGGAGGAGAGAGAGGTAATTTACACAGAATACATCAGAAACTCACAGGCCTCAAGGCCAGTCTGAGGGACTGGGACTTTGTCCTGAGGGCACTGGGAGGCCACAGAAGGGCTATGAGCTGGGGAGTAGAGTGGCTCAGATGTCAGAAAGCCCTGGTGAGTGGGATGGACTGGAGAGGGAAAGGTGGAGACAGGAGGCTGGGCTAGCAGCCTTGGGGGAGGGAGGAGGGCAGGGCTGTGGGCCCAGGGACAGAGGGGAAGGGAGGAGGCGGGAGGGGCAGAGCGGAGCTGCCAACTGCAGGCTGCACCACTGGCATGGAGGCTGGGTGGGCAGCAGCCCCACTCGCTGGAACGAGGGAACCCTACAGGAGGGCGGCGGCACCAACTTCCTCGTGGTCCCTGAGGCACCTCCTGGGCCAGCAGTCGGGGGTCTGAGACCAGCGGGGGGGCTGAGCTGCAGGTGGGTGTGGAACCGCCAGTGTGACCGGGCAGGGAAGGACATCCCCCCCGCTCGTCCCCATCGGGTGGTGTGGCCTGCAAATGCGCAGGCAGCAGGCAAAGCGATGCAGCCACCCGGAGGTTCTTGTAGGACACCCTTGGGCCCTCGGACAGGGCAGTGAAGTCAGTGTGGAGCCAGCCACTTTACCGAGGAGGACGCGCCTTCCGTCCCAGGTGGAAACCTCTCCAACATCTGTCACACGGGGGTAACAGCAACACACTACTGGAAAACCATCAGCAGACACCATCGCCTGTGCATGGAGAGAATGTCTCCAGAACGAAGCCCCCCGAGACTGAAACTCGGGCGGCCCCTGGAGAGGGGACACAGTGTGGGCCGGGTAAGCGGACCCTTCTGCACCTTTTGAGGTTCATGCTGTATCCCCAGACCCCCTGGCCCATAAAAGGAAGTGTGGCCGAGCTCCCTGGGACGGGCGAGAAACTGGAGGAGGAGTTTAATAAGGACAGGGCCCCCGGGAGCCCACACTAGCTCACACGATGACTAGAATATACTGCAGGATAACTGTGACAGCTTGAAGGCCATCGGAAAAGTCTTGGAAAAGGATGTCAGCAGATAAAGATCTTAATTGCAACCAATTAAACACTAACAAAATGGCGGGGAGGATGCCTGGGTGGTGAGGAGACTGGGACCGCAAGTCACACAAAGGGTTAAGAACTCAGAGTCAGAAACACTGTCCGAGAAAGCATCGCTGGGGAGGGGGGTCATCTGGGAAAAAGCTACAGAATTCCCGTGGAGCAGACAGGAGAAACGCACTTGGTCTCCTGCCGGCGTGAGTCACAGCCAGGACACAGTTGTTTTACCTACAAAGCTGCAAAAAAACTGGTGAGATAGCCCCAGTGCAGCCAGGCTCCACACCTCATCCTTTTTTTTTTTTTTTAAGTAAAGGTTTTATTTTATTTACTTTTTAGAGAGAGGGGAAGGCAGGGAGAAGTAGAGGGAGAGAAACATCGATCCGCTGCCCCTTGCATGCCCCCAACTGGGGACCCGGCCCACAACCCAGGCCTGAGCCCTGACCATCTGCCCCTGGGTTCACAGGCAGGGGCTCCACCCAGAGCCACACCAGCCAGGGCCCCGCCTCCTTGAGAGAGACTCGAGATGGGGGAAAAGGGGTCGAAGTTTGCCCAGTAAAGGCAACTTGGGAACACGGAAGCAGTGTGCAAGGGCCATCCTCCCAGGCCATTCTAGTACCGGGTTTGAGCTCAGCTACTCCTGACTGAGCCCAGGGGCCTGGGGCGGGGAGGGGGGTTTGTTTGAGGAGGACCAGGACACTCTGGGGGGCTGGAGCGAAGTCAGTTGCCTGACAGCGTGCAGCATTCTCGACTTTAGTGTCACAGAGTGGGGGAATTAACAGCGGCCCTGCTGGCTTGTGCTCCACACACACGCTCCAGAGGGGAATAAAAGCGAGGAGGGGAACAACTTCCCACCATACCCCATGCTGCATCACCTGCTCACACAAATGCTCCTGAACTGCCCCAGGGACCCCACTGCCGGTCACACGTCCCAGGAAGCAATTCAGACTCACAGCGAATGGGCTGGCTCACGGTGGGCCTATTTATAACCACAGGAAGCAGGGAGCGGTCTACCGTAAGTGGTGGACGTGCTGGGAATAGCCTAATACGCAGCCACATGACACAGAGCAGCATCCCTCGGCCACAACGCCAAAGGCCGAGTTTACGGGGTTTCTGCATAACCCATCGTGCAAACGCCGGAACCCAACGACGCCTACGTGCGCACGTACATCAGGAGGAGCAACAGGTGCCTTCCGCTGCCGAAAGGTGTGAGTCTTCGAAACTATGGATTTTAACCCATTCTCGTCAATGTTCTTTAAACAGACAAGTGTGGGGAATAAACAGCAAAGGCCAGGGCACCTCACCTAGTGCCAGCGTCCCAGGGAGGACCGCTCAGGCTGGGTGGGACTCCACCGACACCCCGGGCCCTGCGCTCCACTCCCTGCGGCTAGTTCACTTTGTGCTGGTTTTAAACATCGCTTCCGAGAGCCCAGAAGCCTATGCAGGGTCTGGCATCCTGGGCAGAAAAAGGGCAGAGCAGGGCCCGGGGCAGGGCCAGCCTGGCTGCCCAGGCCTGCTCCGTGCCACGAGGGCAGAGCGACAGGAGCGTGGCAGAGGAGCTGGGCCGTCCACAAAGGCACGGGGGCTGGAGAGCACGGGCACATTCCCGGACTGCAGGGTGTGGGGGTGTGGGGGTATCAGCCACCAGATTGGAAGGGCCCAGGGGCGTGGGCCCCAGCCTGTGGGCAAAGGGAGGCCCTGGGGACTACAGCAGGGCCGTGGGGGAGGGGCAGCCACCCCACCCCTGCCAGGAACACCAAGGCCCACAGGGAAGGGACTCTTGGGGAGTGCCAGCAAGTCCCTTTTGGGGTGACAAGGACATGGGCACTCTGGGCAGGAAAGCAGTCCCCTGGGTGAAAGAGACGGGTGGGCACTGACTGGCCCCGAGTCCCTCACCGGCCACTGCCCCCGCCACCACCTCCACTGCCGCCACCCCCCTGGCCCCCAGCATCTGGCGTTCCGGACATCATGAGGAAGAGGACGACTGGAATGATGTACATCCACTGCGGGCCGGACAGGAGGATGGCACATGAGACAGACAGACACAGAGAAACAGAGAGAAGGGAGGTGAGTATGAGCAGCGTTTCCTCCAGGGCGGGGAAGGCAGGGGCTGGCGTGAGGGGAGGCTGGGTGAGGAGAGGGGCCCAGGTCCCCTACATCACTACGGGTAGGGGAGGGCCGGTGGGGTGCAGGGGGGGCAGAGGCGGGAGGGGGCTCAGTCCTCACTCAGGCCTCCTGTGGTGATGGCGCGGGCCCAGGGGCAGCAGGACGCAGGGCTGTGAGCAACACGGCCCCCCCCAGGATGAGGTGCCACTGAGGAGGGAGGGGGCGTGGGTCAGGGCCAGTGGTGGCCATGGGGAGGGCACCGCCAGGGGAGGCAAGCTCTAGGCCTCTCTGGGCCTCAGTTTCCTTGTGACCCAGCTGTCAGGCTGTCCTGATGTGAGGGGCCCTGTGGGCACCACACCCCGTATGGCAGGGCTTGGGGTCTTCCCACCCTCGGCCACAGCCGCCCCGCCACACCGACCCCCACAGGCCTGGCCTGGCCTCAGGTGGGACTGGCCGCCTCCGGCCCCAGCGCCCCCAGGTCCGAGGACCTTGGGCCTCAGAGCTGCCCCAGCAGTACAGGCCTGTCCCCTCCTCAGCTCCAGACTGGCCTCCCAGGCACCTTGCCCCAGAGCGCGGCCACCTCAAACACCCCAGCCCAGAACCACCCACCTCCCGGCCCGGCTGGAGGATGCCACCAGCCACGTCCCTTTCCAGACCACACCATGCGTTTGAAATCTCTACCACCCCACTCCCAGCCCACAGCCGGCTCAGGCTTTGTCCCCTCCCCTGGACACTGGTCCCGACCCCTGCCAGAGCTGCCCCTGCCCCACCCCTCCCCACCACCCTCTTTGAGGCCCTCCCTCCAACAGGCCTCCATTCAAGACTGGTGCTGCCTACACTGAGTCTGCCGCCAGCCCCGCCAGCACCACCAGCTCTGTGCTGGCTCTTCACTGAGACTGGACGCCCGTGACAGGTGCTGCGGGGTGACATGGGCTGCAGCCCTCAGCTGCTACGCTCGGGCAGGCCTAGGCTCTGTCCGGGTGCCATAGTGACAGGCTGCCCCAGAAGAGAGCAGCGCCAGCCCACAGGCAGGAGGTGGGGGCGGATGAGCAGGGCAGGGGGCACTCAGCACAGGAGGGGGGCTCATCACGAAGGGGGCGACAGGTGGTACCCCACTCACATATTTGGCAAAAAAGGACTTCTGCTCCTGGGGGTTCTTGGCCTTCTGGGCCTGCTCCATCTCCAAGCGCTCAATGAAGGCGGCGGTCTCCGGGCTGGGGGCGGGGGAGGGAGACAGGGTGAGGGGTGGGGCCAGCCACCCAGAACCACAGCAAAGGCAGGGGCGTGGCCAAGCCAGCAGGGCTGTCTGCGCCAGTCCTGTGCCCTCACCCTGGGGCCGTGACGGGCGGCTGCAGCTGCACAGAGGTGTTGAACAGCTCCAGGTCCACGTCCTCCACTTCGTGGCCCCGGCAGCCCCCGGGGTGCGTCACCACCGACACGCCCACCACGTTGCCAGCCACGTCCACGTGCAGCGTGAGGTGATCCGAGAGGTGCGACTCCACCAGGGAGCACTAAAGGGGTAGGGTCAGGAGGAGGGGGAGCAGGGGCTGTTGCCCAGGCCTTGCCCTCACTGGGACCCTGGAGCCTCCTGCCCCTCCCACAGCCCCAGAAGCACCCTTCATAGCCTCCTCCGCTGCCCGCCCCACTCAGGCACCAGCCCAGGTGCAGCAGCCTCCCCCAGGCCCCCTCAAAAAACCCACCACATGGATGTAGCTGGGGGGAATTTCAAGGACAAGGCCAAGTCCAAGTACCCCCGCCTCCCTGTCCATAAATACTAGGTCACAAATGGTGGAATCCAGGCTGGGATTGGTGGGAGGAGGGCTGGTCCTTGTCACTGACTCACCGCGGGGACGAAGGAGGAGACGTAGCCGCCAGCTTCCGGGCCATCGGGGGCCCCAGGCCGCCGTGGGACCCGGACCCGGTACAGGCCATTCATGGCTGCCACATCCTGCAGGGCAGGTGGATGCAGTGGTGAGAGGGATGCCCAGCCCCTGCCAAGCCCAGCCCCGCACCAGGCCCATGGCCGAAAGGCCCTGCCCCAGTCTTGAGCAGCCAGCCAGGCTGAGGATGCCCAGGACTCTTCCCACCAGGCTGGCCATGCTGGTGTGTGGGGCTAGGACCCTTGCAGCTACATGTAGGCACAGGGATAGGGTGGAAGTGGATTATGGCAGCTTTTGCCAGATTTCCCTAAAATGTGGCTATTCCCTCAGCCCCTCCTTCCTCTCATCTACCCTGCAGCCTGGAGCCCCACCGGAGCCCAGCAACTCCCTACGCCATGCGTAGGAGGACCGAGCTGGCCTGGGAGGATCCCAGCCCTTGGGGAGGCCATGAGGAGGGCTATGGGAGAAGCAACATTCTCTTGTCCGACCAAGGCTATTGTGGGCACCTCTGTCTCCTCCAAAGCCAAAGTCAGCCTAACCAACTGTCAGTCAGTCACCTTGGCTGAACCTGGAAGGGTAAGAGGAACTGGCCGTGTGAAAACCAGCAGAGGAGAGGGTGTGCTGGACAGAGGGACAGCACGAGCAAAGGCCCTGAGGCACGCATGTAATACCCTGAGGCACCCTCATCCCCCCTGCTTGCCAAGCCCTGGGTCCCCTCCTCACCCGCAGGCGGCCCCGCTCCTCCTCGTTGAGCTGCCGCTGTGACAGGGACAAGGTGTTGTCCTGCTGGTTCCACAGTATAGAGCCCCGCTTCCGGAAGTGGGCGCTGTCATCTGCGGGGAGCCTGGGCTCAGTGAGCACCCCAGCACAGCACCCTTCAATGCTTGCCCCTTGCTTCCCCAACCTGAGCCCCCATGTTCCTGCTGGCAAATTAGGGACACCCCACCATGTCCTCACACAGCACACCCGGGCAGATGTCTGAACCCCACGGGGGCTCCTAAGCCCTGCTTCTGCCTTGCCAGGTGACCCAGAGACAGTCACGTAACCTCTGTAAGCCTCAGTTTTCCGAGCTGCAAAATACAGGGCTACAGAGCCAAAGGGCTCCCCCCCACCAAGCCATGCTGTGCTCAGCATGGCCTTCCCAGGCCGAGGCTGGGGTCTGTTCCAGATGGTTGGCAGGAGCCCCAGCTTCAGTGTTTACAACAAGGACTCCCGGAGTCTATGTCTGGGATTTTTTAAAAAGATTTTATTTATTATTTTTAGAGAAAGGGGAAGAAGGGAGGGAGAAAGAGAAACATCAATGTGTGGTTGCCTCTCATACATCCCTTACTGGGGACCTGGCCCACAACCCAGGCATGTGCCCTGACTGGGAATCGAACTGGTGACCCTTTGGTTTGCAAGCCAGTGCTCAATCCACTGAGCCACAGCAGCCAGGGCCCCAGACTGGATTATTAATGCCTGGATCACACTGACATCTGCTCTCTGGCAGCAGTTCAGGCTGGGCTTTGGAGTGGGTCCCAGCCCTGCCATCCACTTACAAGAGGACCTTATGTGGTACCCCTCTGAGCTTCAGTTTCCCTTTCTGGAAAACGGAGCTACCCCTAACACCTACTGACTTGCATGGCTGTCATGAGAATGTCTGAGTTAATACACGCAGAGCATCTAGTGCAGGGCACAGATCAGAAAAGTCTGCTCTGAGATTATTACTGCTCTATAGGCACAGAAGAGTTAAAGGCAAGTTCCTATTCTCTAGCGCCCTCCTCACCCCCACCGCCCCAGTGTAATGCACACGCACTCTCAGGGGCCAAGCTGTTAGTAAAAGTGTGGTGTCTCACACTGCACGGCACCCACACTGCAGTTCCCAACTTCACAGGGCACAGGGCAAGAGTTCATTCAGGCGGGGACATCGCTGAACTCACCAATCTCAAATGAGTGCTCCAGCAGCAGCCCAATGGTGCCACAGCCCTCGCCCTCTCGACCTTCCGCCCCCACCTGCAGATGACAGAGAGGGCTCCGAGTGAGGCCCAGCAGAGCCCTCGTTTTCATACTCATCTCCAAACACTGTGGCTTGCCCACAGCTCCACCCTGAACCGCCCAATTCATGAAAATTCAGGATCTGGACAGTCCCCAGCAAACCAGAGCCTGAAAAGAAGTAATAAGATCATTTCCAAGACACCTATCTCTGGCTCATTTTCACGCCTAGTATCATCAATATTCCTGAGTTAAAGGACACCCTAGCTTCCTTTCCAAGCTAATAATATCCAAGTAGTCTCATTTTCACCCTAACTGCCTCAATAGCCATGACGCCAACCTAATTCTGCCTCTTATCAAACACAAACAAGGATCCACGCCCCCCTTTTCTTCAAATCGCCAAATTTCTTCTACCTCTGCAGCATCCTCCACTCTACGCCCTCGCACCTGCGCTACGTGGTTTCCATATCTTAATCCTGCAAATCAAGATCCCGCCCTCCTCATGCATATTCAGCTAGAAGAACTTTCCAATCTCTCGACAGCACTCCCCAACCCCCGCCCGCTCTTTTCATTTTAGCTGCTCGATGTCTCATTCGCCAGGATTCCATCCGGGCCACACCTCCTCATGCATATACAAGTTACAGAGCCTCACAGTCAAAACGTCAAGAGGAAAGTCTGGTCCCAGCCTTCTCCTTGAGCTCAGCTCTGTTTTCCCCACAACGAACGTATAGGTGCCAAAATCCCACCGGAGCCCTGCCCCCTCACGCCTTCCCCTTGCTTCTCCGAGTTGTGCGGTTTCTGCATGTGCAAGACTGCAGATTCGCTTTCCTCGGTTCTTTCACCTTTCTTCCGTCTCCGCCCTGCGCAGCCCTGTTCCCACCTTATTCGACCTCAAAGTCCGAGACTCACGATTTCCGTCGGCTTCGCCCCCGTGCCGAGTCAATGAGTACTTACCCCTCGCACAGCAGCCCCGGACCTGCAACCACTGCCTCGCGCGCGACTGGGAGCTGCGGCCGCCACCAGCAAGAGCAGGAACAGCCGACTGGCCACGGCACCAGCCGCCGCCATTTTGATCCCTTCCCACCAGCCAACGGGCGAGAGTGAGCCGTGAGCCGCAGAGCACTCCGGGAGAAACGGACTGCAACCTACCGCCCCGTGCGCCTGCGCCGGCTCCTCGCGTCTGCGCACTAGCGCCTGCCCGCTACCAGGGCCTGACGCGTGGAGGGTGGTCGCCGCCCGTGTGGTGACGGCACAATTGCGGTCATCACCTGGTCCGCAGCATTTTGCGGTTACAGAATACGCAGTCCCACCTGTCAGTTTTCTCCCTCGGCTCCTCCCTCCGTTCCCCAGAGGGGCGAGGCGTTGCGATGAAGCAGGGGCAAGAGCCTAAGCCGGCCCTCCGTGAAGCAGGTGCGGTGGGACCAGGTGGGATGGCGGAGCCAGGCCTGGAGGGGTTGCACCAGGTGAGGGATGGGGTTGGCGAAGTGGACACGGATAGCGCAGAAACCCCTGCTCCCGGCGCCGGGCTGCCCCGGGCCCTGCCAGCCGGGGGTGCCCGCGCCAGCCTCTTGGAATAGATCCCCGAACTTCGACCCTAGAACGCGCCCTGGTTCCAGCCCGTCCCACGGGCCGGCCTGGACGTCTCCAGCGCTACCTTCTGCGCGGCGAGTTCGACCAGCTGCGAGACTTCTCCATCTTTGAGAGCAACTTCATGCAGGTGTGGAGCCCCAGGACCACCTGAGCGGCAGCCTGGGTCTCGACCTCCTGATCTTAGCAACTGGGGCTCTCCCTCCTGACAACTCCCCCATAGTGTGTATTTCCTGGAATTCCTGACTGACCCCTTTCCCCATACCTCCAGATCTTAACTTCTCTACGAAACCTAGCCTCTGATTCCCTTCAATTTCCCTGACTTAACAACTGTGTGACTCTTGACCTTTGACCTCAGGGGTCCAACTCCCATCTTGGTATTTAATTCACTAGGCTCTTGACCCTTAATCCTACCAAGATTCTTGACTCTGATCCCCCCACAAATCTGCTTCCCACATCTATTCAGCTTCTAACCCTTGTCCCCCCCCACCCCAGGTGACCCGGTTAGGAGAAGTTGCCAACAAAGTAACCATGGGGGTGGCAGCTTCCAGTCCAGCCCTGGAACTCCCAGACCTGTTGCTGCTGGCAGGCCCTGCCAAGGAGAACGGACGCCTGCAGCTCTCTGGGTGACTGCCCTCACCCCCACCCCCACCCATACATCCTTGCTCCCCAGCTCAGGCGGTCCTTGGCTCCCAGCAGCACCTCCTCTCACCCAGATGACCCTTAGGCAGGAGCCTTGGATGGCTACCAGTCCTCTCTGGGCTGCTGGCCACCCAGGAGAAAGAGGACAGGGCAGTCTGCAGAGACACAAAATCGGGGATAGACAGACATGAGGGGGAGCGGTCCTCAGCCACACCCTGGCAGGGGTCAAGAGCATGACCTGCAGCACCTGCTACCTGCCAAGCACACCTTGGCCCCTCACATCATCTCATCTCTGACGTCATACTCTTATATGGTGGGACCCCTTAGCCCTAACCTCCAAAGAGATAAACTGGGGCCCAGAGAGGGGGTCCACTTGCCCAGGACCTCACAGGGGATCGAGGATCGTCATCTCAGGCTTCTCATGATTGCCAGCCTCACGGCGCTCAAACTCCTGTGTCATGCTACACAGGGCCTTGCTTTTTTTCCCAGAAAAAGTAATACAGATCCACTCTGACTGGTGTGTCTCAGTGGGCTGGGCATTGTCCTGCAAACCCAAAGGTCACTGGCTCAATTCCCAGTCTGGTCACATGCCTGGGTTGCAGGCCAGGTCCCTGGATGGGGGCCTAGGAGAGGCAACTGATAGATGTATCTCTCGCACATCAATGTTTCTCTCCCTCTCTTCCTCCCTCCCTTCCCCTCTCTCTAAAAATAAATAAAATCTTTTTTTTTTAAGTAATGCAGATCCACTCCAAGGTATAAAACACACATAACACAAAATATACTTTTCTCCCATCCTGGGCTCTTGCATCCAACTCCAGCAGCAAATACCAAAACATTTCTGTGGGTATAGTATAATTACCACTGAGTCATGACCTGCAGTTGGAAGGTGCTAAGGGAGGGCTTTGACCTTCATAGTCTCCTGCAGCACCCTCCCCTCACTGGCCCCCAAATAAACATACCATCGAAGTAAAAACATGGAGCTTGCTCTGCAAATTCAGCCTCAAGACACCCTGGTGCCTCCCTGCTAACCAGCTTACAGCCCAGAGTTCCTCTGGGCCACCTCTGACAGGCATCTCGTGTGCACTGGCCTGTTAATAGTTGCAAGCACATGCTACATACTACCTTTCCCTCTGCTCACTCCCTCAGCATGACAGCAATATTCAATTCATACTGACATGAATACAGCCACCAGGCCCTGTGGTGGCCGTACATGGTTGAACAGACCGGCCCCTTTGACACCACTCCTACAATGTTACAATGTGGTAGGAAACAACCTTGAACAAAAGGCTGCCTTTGGATGCCCTGGGTTCAAACCCTGGCCTCACCTGTACACTGACTTTGGCCAAGTTGCCCTACCTATCTGGGCCTCAGTTTCCTCACCTGGAACATGGGGATAAGGGGAGACCCCACCTCCAGGGCTGCTCGGGGTATAAACTATAAGTGCACAACGTAAGCTCTCTGTCAACGTCAGCTGTTATTCTTCCATTTGGGGAATGTAATAGATGGAGCCTGTCACTGAGGCTGTGTCTTGGGATTACAGCCAGTGTGGCTGGCAGGAGACATGCATGTGCGCAGGTGTGAGGGTGACAAAAATATCACCTTCTACTGGGCAGGCAGACAGAATAAATGGCAGTTGGTCCAATGCGGTAAAAGGTCGGTGGAGACATCAGGCAGGGGACATCATTCAGGGGACCACGTGGCTGTCAGCAAGCGTGGACATGGTTGCAAAGGCCCGAAGGTGGTAAACAGACTTCCTTGAGAGAAACGCAGGGGCCAAGCCAGGGGGGTGGCTGGGGGAAGATTTCAGGCAGAGAGAACAGCTGTACAAAGGCTCTGAAATAGGACCAAGGCTGGCAGATTTACGGAACAGCGAGGAGGCCAGTGTGGCTGGAGTAGAGCGAGCCAAGGAAGTAGGTGGGAGGTGAGGGCAGAGAGGGAACAAAGTGGGCAGACGCAGGGCCTCCCGCGCACGGTGAGGACTTGGTTTTGACTCTGAACCCACTCAGATGTTGACTGGCGCCCTCTGGCGGCCGCGTGGGGAAAGACGAGCTGGGAGCCGTGGCGGGAAACTACCGTGGCGCCTCAGGTGAAGACGTTGGAGGGAGTTGGAAATGGTCGGATTGTGGACACATTTTAACGGCAGAGCCATCAGAATTCGATAGCGGGCCTGGATGAGAGTGTGAGAGAGAAAGGTCAAGAGGGACTCCACGTTTCCGACTGACCAAAAAAGTGGGAGGGTGTAGTTGAAACGAAGGACGGAGAGGAGCGGGTTTGGAGTAAGGATAAGGTCAGCATTTTAAGAGTCCGATGTCGATCCAACATCTGAATGCAACTTGTTTTCAGCTTAGGAGGCTGTCTACTCAAGTCTGGGATTTAGGAAAGAGGACCAGCGGGAGACACAAGTGTGCTTTGTGGTGTGATGGAAGTTGGGGATGGGTAAGATTCAAGAGGTAGAGGAAGTGGAAAAGGGCTCCTTTCGGGGGGAGAACAGGGCAGCGATGTGGGCGCCCCCAACTCTGAGGGGGCCCGAGCTACGCAGTCTGGGAGGGTTGGGACCTGAGAGTGCCCCTTCCACCCTCCCAGTCTGTTCCCCTTGCAGTTCGTCCAGCTCTTTGTCCACGATGAAAGGCACTGTCAGCTCAAGGTCAAGTTTCAAACGGGCCGCACCTTCTACCTGCAGCTTCGGGGTTCACCCAAGACCCGCAACCGCAAGTTCGGCCAGTGGGTGCGGCTGCTCTACCGCCTGCGCTTCCACTCAGCCTGGGGAGCCGAACCCTTCAGGCCAAAATACTGGGCGGCCAACACCTGGGACCAGGAGGAGGACCAGGATGACGAGGACGACGACGAGGAGGATGATGAAGAGGATCTGACCTAGGGGTTGGAGGTGAGGGGGTGGGGCTGCAAGGAGGTGGGAGAACCGGTCAGACTCCGGGGCCTGAGGGAGGAGGTGGCTGGCGCCCTGAAGGCTTGTGGCTGAGAGTGCAATGGTCTGGACTCCTGATTCCTGAAAGCGTCTCAAGTCTCAAGGACAGTGCATGAGCTAACTCAGCTCTAGCTCCAGAACTAGGCATCCCCGTCCCCTTCCAGCATCTCTCCACAGTGGGATCTGGGGAGGGAATGCAGGGGCCTGCAGGGGAGGTCAGGCCTAGGAAGCGAGGGACGCCTGTCCTTGAAGGCACGCCTGTCCTTGAAGGCGGGACCCTTGGAACCCACGGGGTCTCTTCCTCTGGAGACACCCGCTCCCCCTGCCTCCCCAGTAAGTACAGAGCTCCACCCCCACCCCAAACTGCAGCTGCAGGTGCGGCCAAGGCCTCTGAGACAAACCCTCTTGTACGCAGCTTCGGGCCATGGACGTCACACTGGACCTCCCCAGGCCTCTCACTCTGAGGACTCTGATTCCTCCAACACCCTTTGAAGTCCCCAAAGGGCCAGAGAGCTGTGTACCCTACTTTGGGGCTGGAGAGATGAATTATTAAAGTTCAAAAGATCGTCCACTTAATAACTGAGAACCAGGTCGTCAGCAATTCAACACGGCCGCCTGGCAGAAGCAGCCTTTCCCGGGTGGTGTCGCATGGTCTTCAGGGCATCACATCCGGCCGCTGGGGGGCACCCCTGAGACCTAGTGCCCCCGTGCTGTCATGGCTACCTCACCAGAGCAGCCCTCCCAGGCTGGCCTTGGGGTCCTCTCTGACTCGCTGTAGTTTCCACAGCTGCCGGCCTGCCTCACCCCCACTCCTGATAGCTAGTCTACCAGGCCTCCCTCCAGGCAGCCTGGGGTGCACGGATGCAGATGCGGTGCCGTTGCCATGGCAACGCAGTGGCCTCGCTAAAGTAGCTGTTCCAAGATGGCGGCCTCCGCGTGGCCTGTTGCCTTCCGGTGGTGGCCACTCCAGCCTGGTTGTCCCCATTACCCACCCCCAGGTGCTTAGCCCCTACAGGAGGAGGCAGGCAGAGCTAAGACTCAAGAAGGACAGACATGTGCGTTTCCAGACAAGACTCTTATTTTCTCAGTGATGCCTCCTCAAAGGGAAACACTGTTCAGGGAGGTCGAAGCAGGACTCAGCGGCCAATGATCTGGGTGGGTCGGAGAGCATGTCACTGGGGCACTGTGGGCGAAATGAGACAAGTGTGGCTCAGGGGCTGCGGGCACCTGGCTGCCGCAGCGCCAGTGCCCCTTGCCAGGCCCTTTTGCCTGCTGGATTCCATTGGCCAGCAGGGGGCGCAAGTTTCCCCTTCACCACCCTGCTCGCCACCCCATCATGCCCGGTGATTGATTGCTGTAGCTTTGAACCCCAAACTGGGACATTTTGATCAGGGATTTCTGAGCAGCTGCTGGCGACACGGGCTGTCACTGGAATCCTCGAGTGGGGATATTTCGGAGCTGACTCAAGAGTTGATAGAGGGGACAGAACTTGAGAAACTGGGTCAGCCTGGAGGAATGACACACGAAGGCGTGGAGGTCTCTGAGCCCTTGTTAAGGATCTGAGGGCACTTCTGTCTGCTGGGCTGTCATCAGGGCCAGGGAAAATCACAGTCGGGGAGGGACTCTGGAAGCCACCTCTACAGGATTTGGTTAGCAGCCACCCCACAGAGCCTTGACTGGAGGACGCAAGGCCAAGGTGGGGGAGGTGAGGAAGTGTGTTCCCGGTAGGCAGAGAGGCCTGGAGGAAGCTGGTCAGTTTGTCCAACTGCCAGGAGCTTGGTGCGACTGGAACAGTGTGGAGGAAGACGAGGGTCCATGAGACCGGAGAGGGGCAGGGAGAGGGGATGCTGCAGGACGCAGGACACTGACACCGGGCTGAGGGGCTCCAGGGCTGCTGGGAAGCCCATGGAGGGCACGTCAGCCCTGGAGAGAAGAGTCCTCTAGGGCCCTGTGTGGGCTGGACGGGAGAGAGGGAGGGAGGGAGGTGGGGAGACTGGCCAGATGGGACTTCAGAAGGAAGAGGATGAATTTCAGCGCCGGGGGACGGGGTGGAGTGCAGCAGGGAGGGACAGAGCGTGGGGGACAGGCTGTGCAGGGGGGAGGCAGGTTTCTAGGCTCCCGCAGCCCCAGGTCCTCTGCCACTACCCACGTTTGTTTCCACACTGTGTCCACGCGCCTCCCCACTGGAGACCTCAACAGTCATTTGCCAAGCTCTCCTCACGCCCTCCTGTGTCCTTCAACAACTTTGAAAATCTGCAGATGACTACCCGAGCCCGGTCAGGTGCTCCCTCCACCACGGCCCCTCTGACGCCCTGTGCAGCCCTCGCTGCAGCCTGTTGTTACCCCCGAGTCCTCCCCCCCACGCTGGTTAGCTCTGTACAGCGCATGCGTGCGTGGCCGCTGCTCACCTCGGACCTCCAGCTTGCACTCCGCCAGCGCCTCCCCTAGCTCATTGACAGCCCGGCAGGTGTACGTCCCGGTATCGAAGGGGGTCGGGCGGCGGATGTTCAGCGTCAGGATCCCCTGGAAATTGGTCATCAGGAACTTGGGATCTTCTCGGATTTCCATCTTGTTCTTCATCCAGACCACCTTGGGCTGTTGAGGGGAGCAGAAGAGGAGGCCTGCTGAGAGAGGGTCCCCTGGGTGACGGCATGATGGGCCTTGGGAGGAGAATCTGGATTCTCATTCTGCTTGGGCTACCTCCTCACTTTGGCAGGATGACCTTGGCCTCGTCCCTTTTCCGACCCTCAGTCTCCTCTTCTGTAAGAGGAAGAGCTCACTCCTCGTGTGTCCCGCAGGGCCCAGCACGGCTCGGCCCTTTGCTGCGTAGCCTCGCTTCCCTCTGCCCCAGCCACACTGGCCTCCTGGCTGAGCCTCCAACAGGCCAGACAGGCCCCCACCTCAGGACCTTGGCTCTGGCTGCTCCCGCTTCCAAGACTGCTCTTCCTCCCCTTTTCACCAGTGAGCACCTGCCTGTCTCAGGTCTCAGCTCACTTGTCACTCCCCTGCCTCAAGGCTGTTTCACACTCATGGCTGCCATACTTCTCCAGCACACTTATCACCCTTTACAATTTTGTAGCCACTCGTGTGATGTTGAATTGATGCTGTTTCCCCTAGCATATGGGAACGTCTTATCCAATTCACCAGCACATAGAAAGCCTTTGAGAATATGTACTGAAAGAAGGAACAAGCCCTGGCTAGGTGGCTCAGGTGGTGGGAGCATCGTCCCATACACCAAGAAGGTTGCAGGTTTGATTCCCAGCCAGGGTACACACGTAGGTTGCAGGTTTAAGCCTACATGTGAGAGGTAACCAATCGATGTTTCTCTTTCCCTCTTTCTCTCTCTCTCTCTCCCTCTCTCCCCCCACCCCTCTCCCCTTACTCTTTCTAAAATCTATAAACAAATCCTCAGGTAAGGATTAAAAAGTAAAAAACTGAGTGAATGAATGACATAAATAAGCAAATGCAGTGAATGAGTGAACCAGGCAAGTGGATCGGGAGGTGAATAAATGAGTGGAGTTAGTGAAGGAAGCAGACAGGTGAAGATGCAGGAGGAGAACTCGTGAACCCACGGTGCGCCTACAGGGCCAAAGCTAAAAACTTAGAAGTCCGGCCAGAACGTGGCAAGCTTTGTGTATAAAGGCCCAGGTAGTTGGCAGTTCAGGCTCTGTGGCCCTGTGGTCTCTGTGGCCACGGATAACACACAAGTGTGTAAGGCCACATTCCAATAAAACTTTATTTAGAGAAACTGGTGGCAGGTGGATGTGACCAGCCAGTTAAAACGGAGCAAATTTCATGAACTGAGAAGAGGTGAATCAGAAAGGAAAAGGGGGTGTGATGGAAAAGGGTGGGGGCTCCATGTTGCTGAAGGTCCCCTCCAGGGTCACACGTAGGCACACACGCACACACCTGCGGGAAGCCTCTGACCGCACAGTTGAGAGCAGCAGCATAACCAGCCACGACCACCCGGTCCGGCAGTGGCGTCAGGAACTTGGGAGGCGTGCGGAAGTCGTGTTCCTTGTAATCAAGAGGTTTGTAGGTGATACCTGGGGGAGGGGAGGTGAACCTGTGAGGCGACTGATCCTAATTGTCCCCCAAACACCTCTCCTCTGTCACCAGGTGCCATTAACTTTGAGTCCTGGGGTAGGGGGTGCGGAGGACTCCCGGTCAAACCCCAGCTGAAGGGCGGGGACTGGACCTCGCAGAGGGGTGTGGCCATACCCGCCTTGGGGATCCGAGCCGTGTTCTTGGAGACGCCGGGGGAGTCGCTGAGCCCACAGATGTTCTCGCTGAAAACTCGGAAGTAGTACTCGTTGCCCATGATGAGGTCGGGCACGGTGCAGTGGGTTTGGCGGTTGTGTTCATAGACGTTGAACCACTCCTAGCGTGCGGGCCGGGCAGGGCCGGGAAAGTCAGGGACACAGATACAGGAAGAGCCAGGGTCAGGCAAGCACAGCCAAGTGTGCGGGGAGCTAAGAAAACCCGCCCTTCGCAGCAGCCCTGTTCGCAGTGGCCGGGAAATGGGAATCACCCACATGCCCATCACCGGGTAAGTGGAGAAGCAAAATGTGGCTGTATCCAGGCTGTGGAATATTACTTAGCTATGAAAAGGGATGGGACACTGACCACTGCTACAATGTACCACTGACACCTAGAAAACACAAGGCTGCGTGAAAGAAGCCAGACACAAAGAGCCACCCACTGTGTGATTCCATCATGGGAAGGGGCCAGCATGGGCCAATCCGTAGAGACAGGAAGCAGATTGGGGGGTGCCAGAGGCTGGATGGGAGAGAATGGAGGGGTGACCACTCAATGGACACAGTGTTTCCTTTTCAGTGATGAAAATGTCTTAGGACTCCCTGGCTGGTGTGGTTCAATGTATTGAGCACTGGCCTGCAAACCATAGGGTCACCGGTTAGATTCCCAGTCAGGGCACATGCCTGGGTTGTGAGCCAGGTCCTTAGTAGGGGGCACGTGAGAAGCAACCACACATTGATGTTTCTCTCCTTCTCTTTCTCCCTCCCTTCCCATCTATCTAAAAAGAAAATAAGTAAGATCTTTTATTTAAAAAAGAAAAAAATGTCTTGGGACTGGACAGAGGTGGTGGTTGCACAACACTGCGAATGCACTAGATGCCACCTTAAAGGTCATGCTTGGTTTTGTTAGGAGAATTTCACGGACACACACACAAAAGAAAACCCATCATGCACCGGGGCTCAGCCAAAAGCCTGCGCTCCCAGCCGGGGCCCATTCTCCCAGCCTTTCAGCACCTCAGCTTCCCCAGCTGGGAAAGGACAGCAGCAGTGCCTGCTCTGAGAAGCACTAGCCTTCACACCGCCCCACCCCTCAACCCCCATGGCTTGCCCCACCGGCCCCGGACCCTCTGCTCTCTCACCATGGTTTTCTTGTCGGCTTTCTGGATGAAATACCCCGTGATCTCACTGTTCCCATCGTCTTTGGGGGGCTGCCACTCCACCAGCGCGTTGCTGCCCCACACCTCCTTCACCGTCACGTCCAACGGTGGCCCTGCCTTTTCTGGAAAGAGCAGGCGGGGTTGCTGCACACCAGCCCGAGAGTCCCTACATGTCCCCCCCCTTCCCCCCCCTCCAGGACTCGGACATGTCTTTGGCCTTCCTCCCCATTCCCATGGCCTCGCCTTTTCTTTCGTGCCATTGCACCCGAGCC